CTTTCACCACACCCCCCTCGGGCAATCAATTTTGGACGAGGCACGTGACCAGCCGATACCAGGGTCTTTCCTAAAGACCCTGGGAACGAGGTTGAAACAAAGCCAGGAAAACTTTGCCAGTGGAATGAGTAATAGCATGGTTTCTCGTGAAATTTGGATACACATGCACTCGTGAGTTTTTCAAAGACCTCAAATAGCACTCGTCCTTCGGACTCGTGCTATTTTGAGGTGTTTGAAAAACTCACTCGTGCATGTTATATCCAAATTGCACTCGAAACCATGCTATTACCTATACTTATCGCCATGCAAACCTGCAAAGAACTTATGAAAGTAAAATCATACTTGAAGAGATTTCTAGAAAAATGTTTCCTTTTTTTAAAACAATCTATTAAAAAGTTTGCTTTGAAATGTTTTGGTAACCTAGGATTAAGCTAACAGGCTTTTGGAAAACCGGTTACTGGGACATAAAAGCACCCCTTGAGCTCTGGTTTATACATAACTGGGTGATTGCGATTGCATTCACATGGGACATATGAAAGCAGACGAATTTGAATACAGCTAACTGTACAATAGCAACTGTACAAATTCCCAATGTGTGGACAAATTTTGCATGGGGTTCCAAACAGGGTCGTACACAGGATTTTTCTGCTGAAATAAGTGCCCAAATGTCAATGCATTTACAGTCATCAGTTAGATGTATGCTTATGGCCGGTAATAAGGTAAATTTTCTCTTTTAAAAGTTTTTTATTCAGATTGATGTGTTTTCTTTAGCATACATGAGCTCGCCATGTCACATTGAACTGATCCTCGCTGAGAAGGGACAAGTTGTGCCAAAGGCGGAAGACGAAATGGAAATAAAGAAGGTTTCAAAGAAAAAGGAGAAGAGGGAGAAGATGAAATCACGTGACATGTAAATCACCTGACTTCATCTTCTATGTTTTCCTGTGTAAAGAAATAAATGACTTGCTTGAATTTGGTCGTCTTGTCTGTTGGTTTAAATTTGTCTATACTTTGTAGTTACTGGTTTGTTGTGATTTGTGAACACTTGATCAAGCAATAACTTAACTTTACTTTCCGTAAAGTTAAACCTGGTTTTCATTTTCTCGCGATCTAGTCTCGATCCATCTTGTCTTTTGTGCCCAAATCAGTCATTACGTATTGCATAGTCATAGATATGTCGACATTGTATTACATCTGCTACAACTCAGTTTAGACTACTCACAATTTTTGGTACGGCATGGATAAAACTGGCACCCGTAACAAATCCAATGTTCGGGTTACCTATTTACAAAGTCAAAGACTGAACACAGATAAATTGATGGGGCTTACGTTGACAATGCTCTTGTGGTGTCGTGGTCATGGGAGACCCGGGTTCAACCCTTGGTTGGACATCAACTCAAGGTCTTAAAATAACTGAGGAGAAAGTGCTACCTAAATGGGTTAGACTTTCGCGTCTTCTCGGATAAGGACGTTAGAATTGTAGGTTTCTCGGATCCCCTATCAATTAGACAATAGCTTTTTTGGAAATACGCTCGCTGAGTCTCTCAATCGAGTGGGGGGATGCCAACAAACTTTAGATAATTCACATGCCTAATTATTGTTGTAGTTTACAAAAGAATAGAACAGAACAAAGGTAACCATTAAGCTTTATAATTATGTATAAGAGTTATTCACTTGTGTAGATAATTCTAAAGCTTAGTTACTTTCGTTCTACAGGGTGTATCAAAAAAAAGGAGACCTTTAGAAATCAAGCATATTGTTAAAATTTGAATGCCATTTCAATTGCACATATGCTGAACCGTGGTGCGTGAAATATTGATGGAGTGCATATATTAGAAAAAGGAGACC